CTCTTCCTCTCTCTTTCCTCTTCCTCTCTCTTTCCTCTTCCTCTCTCTTTCCTCTTCCTCTCTCTTTCCTCTTCCTCTTTATCTTTACCTTTCTGTTGCTTTTCTCTACCTTATTGTCTATGTATACCATTATGTTTTCCTCTCTTCTTTGTTTTCTTCCGATCCTTGATTTCTTTTATCTCATTTATTTCCAGTGCCCGGCAATATGCCACGCTAATAAACAAACCAGGGCTGGATTGTAGATAAGGTAGCCTTGCTATTCCCGATACTAGTGCTTACTCCTCGGATTGTGCAACAATCGTCTATGGCGGATGTCGGACTTCAGTATGGAGCCATCTGCACAGCCATGGAGATGTACAGGTATCTATTTAGTCCACGAGCTCTTGCTTTGTCCGGTCTGGATGCTCGATTTTTCTGTTTAGATGCTCAAATCTTAGATCCTCAAACCGACAAATTGAGCAATGGCTGACAATCCCACCTCCGGCCTTGGCCCGCTGCTCTCACCCGAAGCCTCTATCGTTCTGCCCGATGATGCCGACTTTGCCAAGTATACAGATCGCTGGAGACAATGGCACGCGCCGGACGTCGCTGCGGTAGTGCGAGTTGCCACTGAGGCAGACGTGCAGCAGACAGTGAGTGCCAATCAGAGGGACAGGGTTGTGAGCTGAGTGTATCACTGACCATGCTATTAAGGTACGCTTTGCTGCCCAGCATGACATCCCTTTCGTGGCGAGGGCCGGGGGACACGGGGCAACCGAGTCTTTAGGGACGGCAAAGAAGGCAATCCAGCTTGATCTCCGCTCCCTCAACCAGGTCAAAGTGTTAGAGGGCGGCACAACAGCCATCATCGGCGGCGGTGCCGACGCGAAGCACGTTGTCAATGAGTTGGAGAAGGTGGGAAAGCGAGCAGGTCAGTTTAGTCTACTGCGTTGGTCTGCCAGATGAATTCACGGAACTGACGTACTCATGCTTCCTAGTGACCGGCGTGTGCGAGAACGTGGGCATTTCCGCCGTCATCTTGGGAGGAGGTCACGGATACCTGCAGGGAAAGTACGGTCTCGCAGCCGACCAGGTCATCTCAGCACGCCTTGTTCTCGCCAATGGCGAGTTGATCACCGTGTCGGAAATCAGCCATCCAGACTTGTTCTGGGCACTCAAAGGCGCGGGTCACAACTTCGGCATTGTCACAGAGTGGGAATACCGCGTCTACGACGCTCCGGCTCACAAGTACTCTTACCAAACGTTCATCTACTCGGGAGACAAGCTAGAGGCCTTTTTTGAACTTGCCAACCGCATGCTTCAAGGTCAGCCGGCAGAGGTCACACAGTGGACATACCTCGTCGGGATTCCGCCGATTGATGCTGATCATGTAAGTGTATCCCTTTATCTCTCAGAACAGTTCATGAAACTGACGCACCCTATCTAAGCCCGTCATTTTCTTCTGCCTCGTTTATGACGGTCCGGCCGGTGCAGCGAAGGAATACGCCGCCCCGTTCCACTCAATCGGACCACTCTCCGCCCAAGCCGGGGAGGCCACTTACCACGAGCTCGCCGTCCTCACCTTCCAAGACGCGGACGGCCTCGGTTGCGCGTATGGCTCTACCTCGCTGCGCTTCCCAACCGTTCTCGAATCCTACAACCCCTCGGCCCTGCGCAAGGTTTACGACGACTTCGACGCCACCTTGCGACAAGTCCCCGAGCTCGCCCGCACAATCTGGCTCATCGAGGGCCACGCCGTCCAGGCGGTGCAGGCGGTCGACCCGAACTCGACTGCGTTTCCGCATCGGAGTGAGAATGTACTGATCTCGCCGTTCATCAACTATAAGCCCGACCCGGCTCTGGACGAGGTGGCGCAGGCGCTTGGGCGGAGGACAAGGCAGTATTTGCTAGATGGGAGCGATGACCCGACCCAGCTCAGAGCCTATGTCAACTATGCGCATGGGGATGAGCCGCTTGGGGCGGTGTATGGGTGGGAGGACTGGAGGTTGGAGAAGTTGCGGGGGCTGAAGAAGAAGTATGACCCGGAGTATCGGATGCGGTATTATGTCCCTATACTGTGAGGGTGGTTGGAGATTTGGTTGGAAATTTGAAGTAGTGGATCTCTTGAAGGGAGTCACGCCCTGTCCGACCTGGCTAGGGTGATTCCTCGGTGGAGGAGTTGCCCAAGGGGCACAGGGACGCTTTTGGAATAGGTCCTGCGCTGGGGATTCGGCACATCTGGGTCGAATCGCTCTGCATCAAACAAAACGACGAGACCGACTGTCTCGAGCAATCACCCAGTATGGCATCGATATACAGCAATGAACGTTGCAGCATCGCAGCGACAATGGGCATCAGATGGGACCCAGGGTTTTTCAGCGAGAGAGACCCTTTCACGGTCGAGGGGACCACGCTTGAATCAAGACAGTTTAGAAAGCGTCAGATATACCTCTTTAATGCGCACAACCTTGAAGTTACCGGTGCGCCCCTCAACTGCCGCGGCTGGGTCGTCCAGGAACGATGCCTAGCCTCAAGGCAACTCTCCTTTACCAGACACCAGTATACTGGGAGTGCGCAGAGCTCATTGCCTCGGAGAACTTTTCGGATGGTCTACCAGAGGGTGTGAGGGGAGAGAATGACTCAGAGATGCACTGCTGCACGGAGCTCCGCCGTCCGCAAATTCGAAGCCGAGGCTACAGTTCGAGAATGAACAAGACCGCCGTAAAGCTTGGCTCTCACTCGTCGAACCCTATTCCATGTGCGCCCTCACTCACCCCTCCGATGAGATGGTCGCCATAGCGTCGCTTACAGGGACGCTGCGGAAGCATACAGGCCATAGCTACCTGGCCGGGCTGTGGCAAAAGGATCTGGTGGACCAGCTGTGCTGGCATCGCAACGTGTACACTACGCTGATCAGCACGCGGAACGGCTACGCACCGTCCTGGTGATGGCCAGTCTTGACGGACATGTCAGCATGGACAGGGCGTATCTTGTTAAACCCTCTGGTCGCATTCGCCTTGCAGAAGTCTTGGCCGCATCGGTTACGTCGGATGATCCCCGCCGGTCTATACAGCTTTACGTCGGCCGAACTGCAAATGCGAGCAATCGCCCTGCAGGTTAGCGTTTAGTTCATTGTACGAAAATCTCACGACAATAGAAGAAGACGCGATGTCGGTGAAGTATCCGGGCGGACCAGGAGTACAGTCCCCTCCTAGACTGTGTTGTATTCACGTTTCTGTGAAATGTGTATCTCCCTGCAGATGACTGGCTATCTGAGACTGAGAGTTGGCGGCGTCCACAAGAGCAACATCGCTCAAACCTTCTGTTGGTTTTCGTCCCTAGCGGGAAGTGGTCTAGCATGACAGAAGGCCTCACACTATCGAGGGCTTCGGATCAAACCTGAAGCGGAACGTTTGTGCCAGTCAGGTGGTCCACGTGCTGGTGCAGAGAGAGGGTGTTAAAGGGTGTATACGACAGGCTAGGGCTGGATCCGGATCTGGGTTCTTGAGATTGACCTGTCAGATCCTCAACTGGCTGACTTGGTCCAAACATCGCCATAGTATACCGCTAACCGCCATGAGTCCTTGACGGCCTCCTACTATACCATCCGGTCTAAAACGATTGCATCTTTGCTGAGTGTCGTGGTTGGAGTCCTTCGTGTTCAGGGAGCGGGCTTGCCATAGATCGGGTGGAAAACGGGCTTGTTTATTTCAGCGCAGCCCCCCTAGCAACGAAGCCAGAACACCATGGACACCATGGAAACCAATATCTGTTATCGTCAACTAGGTACCTAACCAAGCAACGCTCTATGAAATGCACATATTCTATATGGGTATACAACAGCGGCCAACCTCTCACAACTCGGAAGCAACTCACACCACCTCTAGCACCAGATCAGAACTTTCTCATGACCCCGGCCTAGTCCCCGGGACAACATTCCAGCTTTTCTTGACAACAATGGCCCCCGCCGCAGACTCGGCACTCGTAGGCGGCTTCCGTCCCTCCTGCTCGTGCTCCTGGCTAACCTCGGCCTCGTACTTTAGCGAATCGCTGCCCAACGGCTGAAGTTGGATCTCAGACGAGTCGTCGTGGAGCTCCTTGAACGGCGCCCGGTTCCCGCTTAACGCTGACGGGACCTTGTTTCTGCCGCCGCTCCGGAGCGTGCTGCCTCCGTACTGGCTGTTCTCCGAGCCGGTTGAGTGGCCGCTCTTGGTGTTGTACTTGTTCACCCTGGTAAGCGGCCGGAGGAAGGGGACGCAGGCGAGCGAGAGGGCGACCGAGGGCTCAATGCCTGTGAAGATGGTGGCTAGGACGCCCGTGTATGTCATGTCCTCGAAGTAGAGGTGTGGCAGCGTAGCTTGGCGGTAGATGGTGACTGCGCAGGTCCTGGGGTAACGAAATAAGCGTGTTTGGTCGGAGAAGTGAGCGGGTTGGACGGAGGGCGAGCAAGAGATCATAGGTATACAAAGTATATATAATAGGGGGTGTGACTTACATCCACCCGACACTAAACAAGCCAATGACGACCAACTTCTTGAACGTCTCCATCTGCAGGCGGTAGATAAACGGCACCGGCATCAACAGGATGACAGCCTCAACCACGACGTTGATGCCGCCAAGCCAGATGTAGAACAATCGCTGGTCACCGCAGGTGCCGTCCATTGTCTTATCCCAGTTGAAGGCAAAGGGGCGGCACAAAAACAAAGCGCCCAAGATACCCCCCACATTCCACAAGATGATGAAGAGGCCGACCACGCGGCACGCTGTGATCATGGCTTGGGCGGGGATCACGCTTGCATACATGAACAGCACCGACAGCTTGCTGAAGCAGATGGTAAAGTTCCAGATGATGGGGAAGGCCAGGATGCCCTTGAGGAAGAGCACCAGCGTGTCCATGCCGAAGCGCTGGATGATGTCGAACCCGTGGAACCCGAACCCGCCGAGTAGTACCATGATATACATGTCGACGTGCAGGCCGATGGTGAAGAAGAGGGCCGCAACAATGCACGCATCGCTGGCATCGAGGCGTCGGTTCGTAATGTGGCCGGCCCAGAAGCGCAGGCCCACGAGGACCGTGGGGACGATGATGGCCAGGGTTGAGGTCACGATCATGGCGATTTGTCTGCCATTTTCGATGGGAATGGTCGTCTCAAGTGGTCGAGGAGGAGGAGCGCCTGTCGAGGTCATTTTCGATCTTGTCTTGGTCTGTTGATGGCCGACACGCCGTGGTCAGGAGATGAGGATGGCGCAAAGACGCCCGACGACGGGATTGCTGTGGTTAAATATGCTCTCTTTATCCAAGTTCCTCTATGTCGAGATCAGCATCCCGTCGCTCACAATGGCATAACAGTGCAAGCCCTCGTCATGATGAGCGTTCCTCTGCCATATTGCTAATTCATTTTCCAAGGTCCATGTCCCTATCCCATGCTCCTGTCCCATGTCTGGCCGACCCCTAAACTCAAAAAGCTGAAGAGCCGTTGACCGTTTGGTGACTGCTCGGCATGGCCCCCACCCGGAATGATACCGTACTGCCGGAGGCGAACAATGAATGCCGTGCTCGCCGTCCCATCACCCTCGCTTTTTTTTTTGTTTTTTTCTTTTGTTGCCACCCTCGGCATCCCTCTCGAGCCCTCTGTCCCGGGAAAAGCACAAGGCCGAGGCCTCTTTCGCGCCTTGAATGAGCCCATGATAAAATGAACCCTTGAGACCCTGCGTTCCAGACCGGTTGACAAACACAAGCAGCCCACGATGGCACCCACGTGCCTCAAGCGACCGCGCAGGAACTGTGTGATACCTGGACTCACAGACAGCCCCACGTGCTGTTCAGGTCTGCGGCCAATGGTAGATGTTATACTGGGCAGATATCAAGGAAGCTGTTGCAAAGAAGAAAAAGCCGGCGTGGGGGCGGGGACCGACTCGGACTCGGCTTTTGTTTCCGGGTGGAGACAGACACGGCCCGGCCCAACCCTCTCCGTCAGGGCCTGCCCACAAACGGTTAGCGCCGTGTATTTCGTGCATTTACGCATTTTGGGCTTGGCTTCAACGTCCAGCCATCAATCCTGTGACCTTTCGTCCATACTGTGCAGCACTCCGTACTTCGGAATTACACCTATTTCCGCTCTACCTAGGTATTGTGCAACTCTCTGATGCTTCTGTGTGGCCCTGCCTCGATGGCGGAATATTGGCAAGCATGCACTAACTAATATTCAGATGTCGTGCCAGAGAAAACGAAAGCTTGGTGCTGTCTGACCCCCACCCACAACGGAAACGGAGAAAAGAAAATGAAATACCACGCTCGGCAAGAAAGTAATCTCCTACACTGTAACATTACTGTGTACTGTGCAGGATGGTGTGCCCGCTACCAGCGCCACAGTAACTGTGTACAGTGGTTTCATGAGACAGGAGCCCTCAGTCCTGAAACTTGGCAAGAACCTTGATAAATGGGGATCCTCGCTGCAGCCGAGGGTCTGAAGTCAGTCTGAATGGCAGCTCTCTGTCCATAATCACTGCGTTAAGCAACACGCCAGCATGGGGTCGGTGCACAATGAAGCAAAAGTCGCCATCATCACGGGCGGAACGGTTGGTTGAGCTCTTCTCATCACCCCTGTTCGGTGTGATCGGGAGCTGACAAGACACGTCTCAGAGTGGCATCGGGCTCGCCCTTGCCCGTCATCTCCACGCAAAAGGCTGGCGCGTGGCCCTTGTCGGGCGACGCGCGGATGTCGGCATACAGCAGGCCTCGGCTCTCGACGCCTCGGGCGAGACCGCCGCGTTCGAGCAATGCGATGTGGCCTCGTACTCGGCGCAGGCGGCCATGTTCAAGAGCGTCTGGGCCCGCTGGGGGCGGCTGGACCTTTTGATCGCCAACGCCGGCGGCGTCGATAGCGGGTCGTGGTACAACTACCGGGGCCGCGGCGCGGCTGTCGACGACGTGCCGCCCGAGCCCGACACGACGTGCACCGACGCACACCTCAAGGGCCTTATGTGGGGGACGATGCTAGCGACGCACTTTATGCGGCACAACCAGCCCTCGCCGGGCGGCAAGATCATCGCCACCAGCAGCATGCTCGGCGTCCACCCCTGCCCGACCTTCCCCGAGTACGGCGCGGCCGAGGCCGGCGTCATCCAGTGGGTGCGGACCACCTCGGAACTGCTCAAGTCCAAGGAGAACATCACCATCAACACCGTCATGATGGGGCCGGCCATCACGCCCGTCATGCCCGGATTCGCCAAAGCTTGGCTGCCAGAGCAGTGGGTGACGTCGTGCGCTTGAATGTGGATTGTTGCTGATGTTTATACAGGCTCGTCCTCCCTGCCACTATCATCAAGGCCTATGACCTGTTCATTGACGACGACACCCGGACAGGCGAGGCGGTCGAGACGTCGCACGACGAGCTGTTCTGGTACGAAATGCCGGAACTAAAGGCTGGAGCGCGTAATGTACGTAACATGGCCGTTTACGAGCCGTGGTTCGCCATGATCCACGGCGAGAAGAGCGGCGCCGTAAATGCGCTGCACCAGGCGCCCGAGGGCAATGCCGAGGATGCCGGCCGCGTGAAGGAGTTTGAAGTAGGCGCGCAGATGTAAAATGATAAACTCAAAAGCTGTCGTTGAAGAGAAGGTAATGATTATGGCTCAACGCGTGCCCTGAGTTCTTTTAGCCTGGTCGCGGACTCCAGGCTCATTAGGGTGGGCTCCACGCTGTTACCGTAGGTAAGGAGGCGACCAAGGGGACACGCTCAGTCCCCGTTCTGTGTGAACGGTAAGGTTGAATAGTGGGGCCGGAGCTAGCTCCCAGAGTAGCCAAGGTTCGGTAACATCCATGGCTGCAACTCTCAGGAGGAGGGACGATCAACACATCTCCACTCCTCCATGAAATCATGACTGCCCCTCGACTCCTCGAGCCCCTCTCCGCACGACCCTGTTCACACTAATGCGAGCCTCGCGCTAATGCTGATGAAATACACGAAATGACCTGAGCGAGGCGGTTCCGGTCGTGAACCCCACGGTCGGGACCTTCATATCGGGGACTGTCTGGCTTCCCCTTTCACCTTGGTCTGCCTCTTTCTCTGGTTTTGACCAAGAGTTCAGGCATCTGCTCACTCACCCACGCACACCCAGACATGGGATCCATAATGCCCAACGTCAAGATCATTGCCATTACTGGCGCCACCGGCGCGCAGGGTGGCGGTGTTGTTAATGTCATGAAGAAGACGCCGGGCTGGAGAGTCCGCGCCATCACACGCAACCCAGACGGCGACGCCGCAAAGAAGCTGACTGCCGATGGCTCGGTGGAAGTTGTCCGCGCCGACTTCGATGATGAAGCGTCCCTCGTCGAAGCATTCGAGGTACATATGGCGTCCCCATCCATCTCCATCGTTGTCAGCTCTCGTCTGACTAACCTCCTCTCTCCTTCCATTCACCAGGGCGTCGCAGCCATCTTCGCCGTAACCAACTGGTGGGAAGCCCTCTTCTCGGGTAAATCCCAATGGGAAGCCGGCGAGATCGAGGAACGGCACGGCATGAACCTGGCGCGGGCGGCCGCGAAAACGCCCTCGCTCGAGCACTACCTGTGGTCGACGACGCCGAGCGCCAAGCGCATGTTCCCCGACGGCCGGCTCGAGACGCCGCACATGGACTACAAGGCTAACGTCGACGCGCGCATCAAGGCCGAGTTGCCCGACCTGGCGGCCAAGACGACCTACCTCTACTTTGGCTACTACCCGCAGAACATGGCTTACTTCCCACTGATCAAACCCATTGAATACGTGCGTCAGCTTCAAAGTGTGCCTTATAGTCTCATGTGTGTGCGTCTTGAAACAGACAGGAATGGATGCTGACACGCGAATGGACTCCGATTCCAGCCCGGAACAGGCCAATACATCCAAGTCCTCGCCACCGACCCGCACGCCAAGGTCCTCCTCTCAGGCGACATGACGATCAACCCGGGCATCTGGGTGCGTCAGGCCCTCGCCGCCGGTCCCGCCGCGTTCGGCAAGTACGCAAACGTGGCGCTTGAGAAGTGTAAGAACACACCCGGACTGTCTATAACCCCCTTTTCAGCTTCGTCGTGGCTCGTCAGACGAGGAATTCACTCCCGGAGCCCTCCCAAAACCTCTCTGGTAATGAGACACCACAGCTGACATTCTTGGTCGCTAGGGTCCTTCCAGCAGATGATGGACAAGTGGTCCGAGATCACGGGTAAGCGTGGGACGGTGATTCAGGTGTCAGAGGACGTCTGGGCCAAGCTCTGGGGTCCCGCCGGCCGGGAGCTGGCATGGCAGTTCCAGTTTGGCGAGCTCTGCGATCCGTGGGCCATCCGGGACGACTTTATCTCTCCTGAGGAGCTCGGCATCGATCCGAGTGAGGTGGTCGGGTTCGAGGGTACCATCAGGGGGTTGACCAGCGCCGGCATGTTCGATTAGTGGGGCTGAGAAGGCGATAAGAAGCGTCCCCGCGTCCTTGTTCAACGGTGGGCATTTTCTCAACAAGAGCCCGCCAGTCAGGGAAAATGGCGATATGTCGCATCAGCCACCGAGAACACCAAGGAGTATGGCGTCAAGGAGAAAGGCAAGTCAGCCGGCGAACCTTAGCTTAGGATTGAGAGGGACTGGTGACGAGAGCTCGGTAAGAGATGCAATAGGCTTGAGAAGGAGCGCCAGGACTGTCGCGAGAAATTCGTGGACTGCCTAGATAAACTTGGGGAGAAGTATAATATTCGCTGATTTTTCCGGAGAAATCATTCGGGAACATGTTAACATTCCATGTGCGCGCAACTAACAGCTTTCGTGCCGGATCACTAGTCTCGGCATGGTGTTTTTAACAATCATGTTCTCATGGATTGCCCACCGTCTGATTATGCACTCCATACTGTATCAGCACAGTAGGCCCACCTTCCACAACATTCTTAAAACACCAAATCCTGCAGCGTCTCTGATTTTATTTCTTTTCTTCTCTCTCCATGAAAGTTGAACACCCCGGGGACGCAGAATTAGGCCCGATGCTTCAAAGAGCTGGATCTTTCCGGCTCTTCATGTGTGCATTGGGTTGTATTAACCGGGCAGAGAGAAACTGGCGTCGCAAGAATTGCTACTACGCCTGGCCATCTTTGGCTGCGCGATGAGTGGGCGATCCCGTTTGGCCTCGACATTTCGATACACTCCCTCTGACATTTGACAGTATGAGATGGGAAGCTCTGCTGCTTACTTCGTAAAGCTAAGCTCCTGTTGATGGGTGCCTCAGATATCAAGACCGCTCTTCAACATCGGGTTGTAAATTCCCCTGCGAGCGGTTTCGGCCGAGTGTAAAACTGGGAACAGCCTTGATAGCTTCACTGCGCATCTGAATGCCGCCATCGCTGCTCATCATCCTGCTGGTCCTTGGCTAACGGCCTTGGAATAAGCTTGTCTTGACTTTCCCACTCTTTGTCTCACCCGGATGAACGGGTTGTCCATTTCATATCAAAGAGAAAGAAAAATGAGAAAGCGGCTTGTGGAAAACAAGAGCAAAAGAAAATACAATCGTCACCTGTAGGATTCGAACCTACGCTCCCGAAGGAACTGCCTAACAGCTAACTGTTGATTAGCAGGGCAGCGCGTTAACCACTCCGCCAAAGTGACTTGACCCAAGCTAGCTTGGGTTTCACTTCATCAACCTTGCGGGCTGAGGTCAATGTCGAACGGTTGGCATGGGCGAACTATTGTCATGTCTCAAAAATAATCGTCTTGCAGATTTCACTCCTTCCTGGCGGGTTGTATTTAATGCTACCTACGGGAGAATCCGATTTGAGTCCCCGGTCTGATGACTTGCGGTGTTTGGCTGTGAAGGGTCGGGTGCAGACAGATGCAAGCGCGACTGGGGCAACCTCTTTTCGTCCTTTCCAACGAACAGCGTCAAGCCACTTCTGCTCTTCTGTTTTCAGGTTCTTGCCAGCTCGAGTTCAAAGAACCCGCTTGGTTGCAGATACCAGGGTCCTTCTCATGTCAAACTGCTCAAAGAGGACGTTCTCCTATCCCGGAAGCTGCAGCGCTTTCAGAGGGAATGGTCCCAGGATGGATTCCAGTCCATTGTTAATTCCATCCGGTCCGGCCCTGTCTAAGGGGAGGATGCTTGCAAGAGTAACCAGACGCAATGTCTTCCACTTCAGTTTAGTTTCCCAAGTGTCGTCTAAGGTACTGCAGTCATGTCCGGCCACCAACGTGTGCCGCTCTCTTCGCTGATGCTGAGCCTGAATCGCTGATTGTCCTTCTACCACGTTTTGCCATCGAGTCTGTGGCTTCGAGATGTCTCAAGCAGACCAACGCAGGTATGCCGGAACTCCCAAGTCCCGTCACACTATCAAAACATACCTTGAACGGTCCCCATTCTCGGTCGTCGCGGCCGGCATGCCATCGAAGTCTCGGCGTGCGCTTGGAGCGTGTGCATTGCGAGCTGGATCCGGGCTGCAGCGGACCTGCGTTTGCTGTCTTGGTGCCCGGATTCAAGCCGCCAACGAACATGGCTGGATCTGGCCATAGCAGCTCCCTTGCAGCTTACCAGGTACCCAAGCCCAACGGCTGCTGCGTTGTGTTTTCCAAACGGCCACTGACGGTCCATTCGAGCCGAGTGGCTCGACTTGCTCAGAATATGTCTCATCACCCCTCCGCATGGACTGCTTCTGCGGAATTCTGTTTGCTCAGGCAGTGCTCTCTACTTGTCTCACCATCCAGCGACTTCACGGCCCGGTATTGCAATGCTGAAACGGGCTAACCCTTATCTCAGGAAGAAGGTTGCCATTGTGGGCGGCGGCTGCACTGGGATTGCCGCCCTGTGGTCGCTGAACCGCAGCCCTCACGATGCCTACATTTACGAGGCCAGCGACCGTCTTGGAGGTCATACCAACACGGTTGAGTTCACCAAGGGCAAATACAAGACGCTGGTCGACACGGGCTTCATCGTGTTCAACTCGGAGACATACCGTAGGTCCAACGGCCCCGGCCGTCTCGGGCGTGGACTGACACGAGAGCAGCGAACTTCATCAATTTCCTCGCCAATGAAGGCGTCAAGACCGTGCCAACCGAGATGAGCTTCTCCGTGTCCCGGGACGAAGGTCTCTTCGAGTGGGCTGCTTCCGGCCTAGATGCTCTCTTCTGCCAGCGAAGGAACCTCTTCTCGCCCAGAATGTGGCGCATGCTCTTCGACATGATCCGCTTCAACCAATTTGCCCTCGACGTGTTGATGGCGGATGAGCCGCCCGAACTAACAATCGGTCAATACTTGGACCGAGAGGGGTATTCGGATGCATTCCGCGACAACTACCTGATGCCGATGGCGGCGGCTGTCTGGAGCACGTACCCTGACGATGTCTGGAACACATTCCCGGACGACCACATGCTCAACTTCCCGGCTGTGACGTTGATCCGTTTCTTGTAAGATGCCTCCCCGTCCAGATCCTGGCGTGTTACTGATCGCCATCAAGGTGGAACCATCATCTGCTCTCGAGCTTCGGCGCGCGGCAACATTGGCTCACCATCGCCACAGGGTCCAAGACATATGTCGATAAAGCCATGCATGGTTTCCCTTGGAACCGTGTGCTTCTCAATACCACCGTGACCACTCTCACCAACGAAACTGATGGGCGGGTGCGCCTGCACACCAAGGACGGCGACTCCGAGGTGTTTGACCACGTCATCCTGGCGACCCATGGTGATCAAGCCTATGCGATTGTCCGCGACTCGGCGACTGAGGAGGAGAAATCCATCCTGCAGAATTTTCGCACCACAGAGAACGTGGCGGTTCTGCATTCCGACACGTCCCTGATGCCCCGGTCAGGAAAGGCTTGGTCAAGCTGGAACTGCCTGACCACGTCAACAGGACCAAAGGGCAAGGCGGCCCAGAACAAAGAGGTGTGTGTCACCTACAACATGAATATTCTGCAGCACATCCCGCGCGACGTCTTTGGCGACGTCCTTGTTACGCTCAACCCGCTGCATAAACCGGCCCCGGAAACGGTGCAGGGACGGTTCACCTACCGACACCCCCTATACACGCCGGCCGCCATCCGCGCTCAGCAGCGCTTGGACTCGATCCAGAACAAGCGCGGCATCAGCTACGCCGGAGCATGGACCAACTACGGATTTCATGAGGACGGCTTTAGCAGCGGCCTGCGTGTTGCCGCGGAGCACCTCGGCGGCAAGATACCGTTTGAGTGGAAGGACTCGACCTTCTGCCGCGGGCAGAAGCCCAATTTGGGCGCTATCGACCACTTACTCAGGGCCTGGATCGTTCTTGTGCAGGTGTTGCTCATCGAGGTGGTGGGACTGCTGGTTAAGACGGCCAGCGAGTCGGCAATCTGGCGGATGGTTCTGAGGGTGAGTGAAAGTTTGGATGGCAGACGTCGACCACAGCAGCATGAGAGGGAGGAATAGGAACCCCAGCCCGAAGCAGGGGTTGTCGACCACGTAATAAACCCCCATCTTATTATTATCAACCTTTATCTTGTTCTTCGTCTCATGCTGAAGTTGATCTCTCAGCTGGTGGCAGAACTGGTCAAGATGGCGAGAAACCGCGAATCGTCTCGTGCACTGCTCCCTTCGCAATATTTGTAAGCGTTGGGCACCGCAGGAAACTCGGAAGGAGGAGTAGGTTGTATCAGGAGTAGGCCTAGGCGCTTATGCTTTTCTAGATCGTTGCCCGACATGGAGTTATGGGACACATCGCATCCATGAAAGAAAATTGGAAGTTTGTCTTTTACCTTTGGGGCAGTTCATTGGTGTAAGTGATTTCCGGAGAGCCAAGCCCCGTCAGCCGGCGGCAGCCGCAGAGCGTGCGCCAAGAGTTTCGACAGTACTCCCAGTCCAAGGATCAGACGATCGGCGAACAACGGTTTCAGCGTCCACCTCCACCCCCCAGAACCACGACGATGAATCCAACACCGCGACTGGCCCGGCGCATAGCCGTCGAGGCGTCCTCGAGCTGGCCCTGCTTCTCTTGTCAGCGCGCCGGTGCCCAATGGCGGCCGACTGCCACCAAAGCCGCAAAATCGACCGCCAAGTCCCGGCTGGCCGGCTCGAAGCGCTTCTTCTCGCAGAGCTTCCCTCGACGACAGCAGCAGCAACAGCAGCAGCAACAAAATGCGAGGATCGGTGGCGCAGCGCCGGGGATGAATCGTATGAGTGAGATCTACAAGAGGAGGAATCGGTCGACAGCGTAGGACTTCTTGTTTCTTGGTCAGGTGTGAAGCCTAGACCAAAGCTCAGTTGGGCTGGTTTGCTTGGTGGGTGGGATGGTGCTGACAGTGGTGTTGGTATTGCTAGGTACTACACCATCAGCGTTATTCTGGGGACGGTTGCGTTTTCGTACGGCTCCGTGCCCATGTACAAGATGGTACGCCACCCTCCCTGGCCTCCTCCGATATGCTTCATTCCTCTGACAAGACTCCTCTCTGCTATAGATCTGCCAAACAACAGGTTGGGGCGGCCAGCCGGTCCGCGCCCACGGCGCTTCCTCCTCCTCGTCATCCGACCCCTCCGACCTCGCCTCCCGCCTCGAGCCCGTGACCGACGCCAAGCGGATCCGCGTAACCTTTTCGTCGTCCGTCTCAGACGTGCTGCCCTGGAAGTTCACGCCGCAGCAGCGCGAGGTGCGCGTGTTGCCGGGTGAGACGGCGCTGGCCTTCTACACGGCGACCAACCTGTCGGACAAGGACATCATAGGCGTCGCGACGTACAGCGTCACGCCCGCGCAGACGGCGCCCTATTTCAGCAAAATCCAGTGTTTTTGCTTCGAGGAGCAGCGGCTCGCAGCCGGCGAGACGGTCGACATGCCCGTGTTTTTCTATTTGGATCCGGACCTGCTCAAGGATGTGAACATGCGCGGCGTCGAGACGGTTACGTTGAATTATACCTTCTTTAGTAAGTCGCGGCTTGTTTTCGTCGGGTGATGGGAAGAGTGGGTTTCGCTAACGGTGAGCAGAGGCGAGGTATGATGATAATGGGCGGTTCAAGGGGCCGCCTGGGTTCTGAGGCGCTGGTAAAGCACGTCTCCGGTCTGTAAGGATGGTGTACTACTACTTGGAGTGCATGTACGTTTGTCCTGGATAGACGGTGCATGGCTGGATATACGGTCATGGCTTGGAAGAATAAGAACTAGACCCTTCTCCCGCGTCGACGGGTACAATCCTCCACGAAGGGGAAGATATTCACCGGATGGCCCACGGCCTGGAATGTCCGAAGATATATTACACTGGATATACAGCCATCTCACAACTTATTATTAGAACGGCCATGATGGCTCATTCGGTCGACTCCTTGGCCCTCCTCATGGCCTTCTCCATCTTCTTCACCCCCTTCATACTCTTCCGCGGCCTCGACTTGGTCTCCTTCTTAGGCTTGTTCAGCACCCACGCATTCATCGGCGGGCGGTACCCAATGAACTTGCCCTCCGGGCTGTACACATCAATAACCGGCCACTTTGGCTGCATCTCACCCTCCCTCTTCCCTTCCTTCTTCTTCTCCTCGTTTATCGGCTCGGGCCTCAAATCCAGTCTCTGAAGCGGTTGCTCCATGGTATCAGACGCGCCTCCCTCACCAGCACCGGCCCCAACCCTCCTCAAATCCTGCGGGTGAGGATACAGCTGCTTCGTGCGAACCTGCACGGCCACCTCGACCCACCCGCACCCCTCAATCAAGATGTCGATCCCCAGCACCCGGTACGGCAACCTGTCAACCTTGAGGCCCACAGCCACCTTGCTCGTGATGGGCCCCGTCCGGGCCTTGGTGACGTCGTACCGGACCTGGAACGCGCCGGCGTGCCGGGTCTTAGCGCCGGTACCGGGGACCGCGATGTTCTCCACGTTGGGCGCGTCCTCAGCCTGCGTCTGCACCGCCACCGCCTTGTTCGTCGCCGTCAGGTGCGGCGCGATGGGCGTGAAGGCGTAGGCCAGGAAGATGAGCTCGTCGTCCTGCGGCCCTACGTTGCGCGGCGTCAGCCGGATGAAGCCGCCGAGCAGGAGGGACTGGCCCGGCCGGAGGACTTGCTGTTCTGGGAGAACGCGAGATTTCATGATGAGGTCGGGCCGCTTTTCGGGGAGGACGTGGAATTCCAGTTCGTTTCGCGCGAGGCCGGGCAGGTCGATTAGTTCGCCGCGGCCGTTGCCGAAGGGAACGCGGATCGGCGAGGCGGTGGTGCCTGGGAGGGAGGAGACGACAGGCATTTCCGGGTAGTTGGTTTCGGGCCGCGGAGGCGGGAGAAGGGAGAACTCTTCGGTGGGATCAACAATCCGGCCTGGGAGAAGCGGGTTGGTGTCGTGTTCTTCTGCAACTTGTTCTGAGGTCGGTTGCGGCTGGGACTGTGGGAAAACTTTGACCGAGATTTGGTGCTTGGGTGCCTCCCAGTCCATCCTGCCTTTGGGAAAGACGGCCTCAAAGAGCTGGCTTTTGCCAACGTTGGCCTTGCCCACCATCCAGCCAGCACCGCCGCGATTCCAGATCTCTTCCTTGAGCTCCTTGGTCCACCAACTCCTCTTCGCACTGACGCAGTGTACGTTTCCGAGCCTGATGCGACCGCCAACTCTTCCCAAAGCCTGTCGCAGCGTCTCCTTGAGGTAGGGCATCAAGGAGTCGACCTGTTCCTTCTTGGGCGCCAGGAGATCGGATCTGCTGATGATGAAGCTCATATCCATCCGTCTCCCATGCTGGAACTTGACCGGTTTCGCTCTGCGGTTCTGCGTGCGTAATGTGATATCCAACAGACTATGAAGCCTCGAGAGGAGGGACATGGGGAAGTCGGCGGCGTCCAGGACATGGTACACATGGTTGTTCTTGTAGGGTGACTCTTCGATAGTGTCTCGCAGGGACTCGATGCTGGGATGGTAAATCGAATTGCCGGCCGAGTGATGGATGAGTGTGTGGCAGCGGTCGCAAAGGGGAGGCTTGTCCACTGTGGGCGCAGCTTGCTCAGGGGCACGCTCCGGGAGCAAAGCTCTCAAGTTTATGCCCTGTCGTTCCAGGGCGTCGACATCCACCGCCTGCAGCGTTTTTTGTATGATTTGATCGGGATCGGAGGCCCTCTTATGTTCCTTTTCCTCCAACAGACCGAGGTACTGCCTGACAACCTTGCGCGACACATCATAATAGCCGGCTTCGTTGGGGACGGTGGTTTGCGATAGAGCGCCGCATCCATGGCATTGTAGCGGCAGCGTCTTCGTAGGCTGCTTGGTCAATGGCGACGACTCAGTGCTTGTTACTTCGGTAGGTTGCGTATGGAGTCGACGGGCTTGAATGCGTGGCGCGTTGCATTGTCGACGCCCAGCGAAGGGCTCCCGCGACAACGAGCGGAATGCCGGGCAGAGATACAGCGGCAATTCGGATGTCGGTGTGCTACGCTCAATATTGAAGACCCTTCCTAGCCATCTGGAGGATAGCGCGCGGGCCGGGGCCATGATGAGAGAAACGGTTCAGAACGTTGACCTGTTGCTTCCCTCCCGTCGCTGTCTGGGGCGTCAAGTTTAGAATGTGAGTCGGATGCAGGAAAATCTAAGCTCGGAAACTTTTGGCAGGGGTTGCGGCAGGCATCAGATCTGGGGCCCCGAATGGAATCCCTCGAGCCCCTGTCCGTGGAACGAGCTCCGGCCGGCAAAGGCGGTGAAGAGAACCGAAGCGAAGGCCAAAAATTTCCGGGGTCACTCAATCAAGTGATCCCTGGTCTAGCCGGCGCCCGGTTCGCAACGTCCATATCTACCTACCTTAGCCCAACTTGTGTGTCTCAACGCAGAGGCTCAGAACATCCCAAGATGGTGGGCGTCATCCGCCGCATGAATAAGCTCAATGCAGTAAGTATCTGCGAAGCCAGTGGCAGCAGACCGATTCGCTAACATGCCTTGCAGAAGGTAACGTAAACCCTGCGATTTCTCCCCGTCGAAGCCATCCAAGTCTCGACACCTGCACGACAACACAGCTGAACTCTTTGCAGCTGGTCAGGATAAGAAATGGCCCGGGAGCGGCAGTCCTTCCGCAGGACGTAACGCGGATACATATGGAGTTTGCTCACAAGTTCAACAACGGACACATGGGACCAAGGTGCGGGCGAACCCCTCCTGCTGTCGCGGGTCGCAATCGTTGAACTTACAAAACTGGCGGCAGGAAATTTTGGCAAGATGCTCTCCCACGACTAAAGTACTGGAACCCGGCGGTGCCCATGGTGGTCAACCGAACGCACGATCAAGAGGGGCCCGCGACGCTGACGCTCTACTTCCGCGAACCCGGCGCGACACTCAAATCAGACGTCCCGCAGCCTGGCTCATCAACAGACGGGTTTGCCAAAGCGCCCACGCCGGCCGAGGGCGAGCGCGCCGTCACCATCGACATGAAGAACAGGCGGTCCGAGGCCATACTCAAGGAGTTTATGGACAAGAGCGGCGCGGTGCCGGTGAAGCCCACCGCGCAGGACGAGCTCTTGATGCGTGAGGTTGAGGAGCGGGAGGTGCAGAGCCGTATCGACTATGAGCGGATCAGGAAGTTGAACGAGGAGGCGAAGAGGGAGAAGGCGATGCTTGCGCAGGCGCAATCTGAGGCCGCGGCTATCAGGGGCGAGTCATAAGAGGCCAGGTTAACGCAGCGGGTGAGTGGGTGTTTTGCTGAGAGGCAGAGGAGTTTTGCGTGTATATCATTTGTAAATTACTGCCCCTGCGTCAAGGGCATGAGCCTGTATGAAGGTTCTGCACGGCGGAGATAGACATTGTCTGCACTCGGAAAGGCACATCGGGCTACTGTACATGGACAAGTTACGGAATGTACCAGAACAGCGCGGTGTCATGACGGCGTGGTGATGCGTTCGGACTGGCTCGGAGAGATAGTTCAAGGGTGAACGGCGATTCAGGTCAAGTGTTGCTACGGACACACCCCCCACCCCCAATAATCGACAAGAGGGCGGTTGATTCAACTCTCTTCTTGACTAAACACATGAAATGTTTGATTATATAGAGCTGCAGGATTCTCCGTGTCTGACAGAATGAACTTGAGGTCACACTGATGAGGGGATGGGCCACCCTAGGGAAGTGTGTAAGGTAAGGTCACGTTGAGTGGGTACGGAGGTCCATCCGTGCAGCGCCAAGCCACTCCCATGTCTCGCTGACGAGCAAAAGGCCACGAACTTGCCTGCAATGCATCGTATCCCCTTTTTCTCAGCTCAGCTCTGCAAGCTCAACTTGACATCGAGGAGCCGACGACTTCTATTTCTCCGCCTTTCTTTACTGTGTTTCCTTCAGTTTTGGGAGGACGCAGTCTGTTGGGTGCGAAATCTGCCACTGGTAGCTTTTGCTCGCAACGGCTTTTACCGTTTTGAATTACTTCGACACGCTCGTTTGACCCGTTTTAATATTCGCATCACCGAATATCATACGCGCCCGCGCGACCCCTGAGCACGGCTACATCACAGGTTGTCCCGTCTTGCGCAGGTAGACAAGGGCGAACAATAACAACATGGCCTCTGGATACGACAGGGCCGCTGTCGTCTCCGGCGCCGATCTGGGCGACGCGGCCAGGCGACGCAATGTTCCGGGCACGCCGCAACAGGTCCTCGTCCCCCAGCAGCAAGCCGATGACAAGAAGAGGGCGCCAAAGCAACTGTCCGTTCTCCAATTCCTCGACCAGTGGGAATGGGTCATTGCCCCGATCGTCTTCACCGCTCTCGCCTTCTTCACCCGTCTCTACAAGATTGGCCTCTCCCCAATTGTGACATGGGACGAAGCTCAGTCAGTCGATCCCAAATAGCCTCGCCTCGCACAAGCTCGCTGACGAAGCCTTCATCACCAGCTTTGGAAAGTTCGGCAGCCACTACCTGAAGCGCGAATTCTACTTCGACGTGCATGCAAGTTGGCTTCCTTCCGCATATGCACTCCAACTGTCATTGCTAACCCCCACGTAGCCCCCCGCCGGAAAGCTCCTCGTCGGCCTCAGCGGCTATCTCGCCGGGTACAATGGTTCCTTCGAGTTTAAGTCAGGCGAGACCTACCCGCCCGAGCTGAACTACACCTTCATGCGCCAGTTCAACGCCTTCTGGGGCGCCGTCTGCGTGCCAATGGCTTACTGGACCGCCAAGGAGCTCAAGCTGCGCCGCGCCGCCGTCTGGCTTGTCACTCTGATGGTCCTCTGCGAGAACTCGTATACCACCATCAGCCGTTTCATTCTCCTCGATTCAATGCTCCTATTTGGCACCGTCGCCACCACCCTCTGCTGGGCCAAGTTCCACAACCAGCGCAGGAACAGCTTCGAGCCGGAGTGGTTCTTCTGGCTGTTCATGACTGGCCTGAGCATCGGTTTTGTCACTAGCGTCAAGCTGGTGGGCCTCTTCGTCACGGCTCTTGTCGGCCTGTACACCATTGAGGATCTGTGGAACAAGTTCGGCGACACCAAGATGCCCATAGTAGGTTTGGTTTGCGGATAGGCTCCTCTTTGAATCTGTGTGCTGACGGATACAGCCCGTACTGGGTGCGCACGTCGCCGCCCGCGTTGTTGGCCTCATCATCCTGCCCTTCCTCGTCTATCTGCTGAGCTTTGCCATCCATTTCGCCGTGCTCACCAACAGCGGCCCTGGCGACGCCCAGATGTCTTCGCTCTTCCAGGCCAATCTTCGCGGCACTGAGGTCGGCAGGGACAGCCCCTTGGAGGTTGCCTACGGCTCAATGGTCACCATTAAGAACATGGGTTACGGCGGCGGTCTGCTCCACTCCCACGTCCAGACGTATCCTGAGGGCTCCACCCAGCAGCAAGTGACGTGCTACCACCACAAGGATGCCAACAACAACTGGTTCTTCTATCCCAACCGCCGCGACGCCCCCTATGACCCTGCGGCCGACCCTCGCTTCATCGCCGACGGCGAGACTATCCGTTTGCTTCACTCGCAGACCGGCCGAAACCTGCACTCGCACCAGATCGCTGCTCCCATCTCCAAGTCTCACTGGGAGGTTTCGTGTTACGGCAACGCGACCATCGGCGATGAAAAGGACCACTGGAAGGTTGAAGTTGTCAGCGACGTCGCCTCGCGCGACAGGAGCAGGATCCGTACTCTCACCACCGCTTTCCGCCTGAAGCACGAGGTTCTGGGCTGCTATCTCCGCGCTGGCAACGTCAACCTGCCTCAGTGGGGCTTCAAGCAGATCGAGGTCACCTGTACTAAGGAGAACAACCCACGCGATACCTACACCCATTGGAACATTGAGGCCCACGTCAACGAGAAGCGTAAGTTGGCGGTCTTTTCCAAGCCTGAACTGTGAGGGGCTAACCACATACAGTGCCTCCTGGTGACCCTGGCCAGTACAAATCTCCCTTCCTGAAGGACTTTATCCACCTGGTATGTTCACCCTGCGACAGCCGAACCATATCGAGGAAGCGACACTAATCCTTCACAGAACGTCGCCATGATGACCTCCAACAACGCCCTCGTCCCCGACCCTGACAAGCAAGACGACCTGGCCTCGCAGTGGTGGCAGTGGCCCATCCTGCACGTCGGCCTGCGCATGTGCAGCTGGGACGACAAGATCGTCAAGTACTTTTTGCTCGGCAACCCCGTGGTCTACTGGGGCTCAACCGCCGCCCTCGGCGTCTTCGCCTTGCTCGTCGTGTGGTACACGCTCCGCTGGCAGCGCGGCTACCGCGAGCTGTCGCAGCCCGAGATTGACCAGATCCACTACGCCGGCTTGTACCCCGTCGCCGGCTGGTTCCTGCACTACCTGCCCTTCGTCATCATGGCCCGCGTTACGTACGTGCACCACTACTACCCGGCGCTGTACTTTGCTATCCTGACGTTCGGCTTCCTGGCCGACTGGTTCCTCCGCAACCAGAAGACGGCTGTGCAGTGGGGTGTGTATGCGGTGCTCTACGCCACTGTCATCGGGCTGTATATCTATTTCATGCCCATCTGCTGGGGCATGACGGGGCCGAATAAGAAGTACAGCTACATGAAGTGGTTTGACACGTGGAGAATGTCGGATGCGTGAGGAGAGGATGAAGAAGTGTGGCTGGAGGATAAGAGGGTCGATCTAATCTCATCCGTCGTGTACGATGATATCAAAGTTGTCTGAGTGAGATGGGAAGGAGGGGAGGCTCGCCCTGGAATTGAACCGGCCATGCATGGTCCATGCCATCTCTGCTCTGAATGGTGTTTTCTTAGATCTAGTGCCGGTCTGGGCTTTATTTGGTTCCATTGGGAGGCGTGCGAGCAAACAAAATAAAGCATAAAGGAAGGAAATGGGAATCGAAGGTAAAAGGGAGATGTGGCGAAAGCTATGCTGAGTGCTCTGAGGGAGAACGGGAGTCAACCTAGCTAGCTACTCCCTAGACTCTATAATTTCCAAGCGAAGGTCTCTTTTGTTAGACGGGACTTGTTGAATCCAACCTCTGTCTCATCTTTGCTAGTGGTGCCAATCTGCTGGGGTTGAGTACCCCAGTGTCTCAATACATTGTGTATATTGAGGCTTCCCGAACACATAGCTGCCTCTTGTTATACGGCAACGGTCCGGTAGCATCACAAAACGGTTGGTGTAATTAACTTTTGTCTCGGATTTTGGCCTCGTGGCACGTTAACATTACTATTGATACAACGCCAGCCGCCCGTTGTTGCTCTCTGTTCCTTTACAGGTCGGTCTTAACTAAACCAACATGATACATCCGTCGGTCTTAACTAAACCAACATGATACATCCGTTGTGTTCAACAGCAACCCCCGCCGCTCTTATTGACGTTGCTCGTTAACCTGACCGGCTTACTCGCACATCCTGCTCCTCCTCCTCCCCCGGCACTCGGCCCCTTGACCCCGGACCGCCTATCGTTCAGGTCATATTTCCCCGCCTGAATGTTCTGAAATATCCTCTCGGCTACCCTCATGAAAGCCATCTCGACGTTCTCCCCACTCTTAGCGCTCGTCTCAACATACTCGAGTATCCCATTCCGCCGTGCCCATTCCTCCGCCTCTTGCCTCGTCACCTCCCTCCGATTCCCTCCGATTCCCCCGAGCACTGTTCCTCCGGCCCCTGCTTCTTGCTGCTGCTGCTGTCCTTCTGCTTCTTCGGGGGCGTGCGGAGAGGCGAGATCGGCCTTGTTGCCGACCAGCACGACGACAATGTCGGGCTCGGCGATCTGCCGGAGGTCGTTCAGCCAGTCAGTCACGTGCTGGAAGGTGGACCTGCGCGTGAGGTCGAAGACGAGGAGCGCGCCCGACGCGCCGCGGAAGTAGGAGCGCGTGACTGACTTGTACGTCTCTTGGCCGGCTGTATCCCATAAAGAAAGCTTCATGTGCTTCTGCGGTGGTGGTGGGTGTTGCTTGGCTTTTTCTATTATCGGCGGCGGGGGGAGACCTTGCTTGGTCGTGCTTGGGCTTGCTCCTGGGCCTGGGCCATCGGGGTTGGTATCGTTGGCGGGGGGGTCGGCCACATCGTTGTCGGCGTGTGGTGAAGGTTGTCGGGGTTGGGATAGGGTGGTGGTGGTGCTGGAGTAGGGCGGTCCGACGGGAACGATGCGCGAGCCGAATTCAACGCCGATGGTCACGTCGTGGTACGGGACGAAGCGCCCTTCGCAGAGCCGGATCGTGAGTGAGGATTTACCGCAGCCAGAGTCGCCTATGCATACCAGCTTTGCGATGTAATCCCAGGGTGCGGAGGACATGGCGAGGGTGAGGGATGGACTTCTCGGGCCGGGGAGGAATGGGGAAGGGCTTGCTCGCTGACGTCAAAGTGTTGGCAAATTCACGCTCTTTGACCAGTTTATCAAGAAGGAAAGACTAATATAGAATCAGTATGTCGTCTGTCGACTTGGTTGTCGTCGTCTGCTTGATGTTGTGACGAAAGCTTGTGCGCGAAGTGGTCTTGTTGAAACTGGCTCAGGACGGCCACCTGAAACGATAGTTGAAAACGATGGCAAGATACAGGGGCGTGGGGCAACAAGTGTGACACCGAAGATGCTTTAAGCAGACATCAGAAGCTACACTTGAGCTTGGGTTGACGATTGAGCCGCAGCATGGTTTTGCGTGTAGTGTTGAGTTGGCAGCCAATCCGTGCTGCTGAAGCTGCGGTGCTCCGCCAACTGCCACCTGGAGGTGGATGGGGCGATCAGCAGGGTATGGGCTCGTTCCGGCAGCTGATGGGACCCGGCCCAAAACGGCATCAGTGACGCAACTGGCCGATAATACCCAACCAGCTGTTTCAGACACACTGCAACACTCACCGACCCCTTCTGCCCTAGATTACCATTGTTTCTCCTTTCTTCTTTTCATACTTAAAATTAACTATCAAGTAGATACTGGCCTCATTCAGCCATCGTTTATTTGGCGGTTATCGCCTGGAGGATCTTCCAGCAGGAACATCTCACAGTCGATATGCATCAATCGATGGAGATTTCCTTTAGTTATTTATCTACAAGGATAGCTCTGGCTTGGCGTATCGGAACTGTCAAGTGGGTCTGCAGGTTGGGTCACCGCCTCGCAGTCACGCCTAGATGGATGGCTTCCGCCTCGTGAGCAACCCCGGCGACTGTGCTGCCTGTTCATCCATCATTGTCGCCCTGATGCGACGTCCTTTTCGTTCTGCACAACAAAACCTGCCTTTTCGTCCTACGACACAGGCCACACAAACCAGACGCTACCGACCTCAGGATATATCTAATATTTCGCCTCTCCCAGCACTGCCGTTTTGCGAGGCATGGGCATCCTGTTCTGTACCTGATGCGCCGGGGCTTGACTTGGTCATTACATCGGCCCAAACTGGTCGAGGTCAATACAACCCCGCAACCTGTCACGCTTCCCCCGCAGCCTTTCGATTCATCTAGCCCTGACTACTTCCTGAGAGCCCACGATATCAACTTCTTGCCCGCTTCAAGGCTGTGTCCCTGGGAGTCAAGCACCCTCGACAGAGGGTGACGGGAATCTGCCGACATGTTCTCCGAATGTGGGTTCAGGGCTGCCCTTTTTTGGTCCGTCTGGAACTTCCGCTGACATTACTTGCAGATGCCTCCAGGTTCCTCGCGCAATCACAGTCACGACTATCTAACTTTGGCCAGGCCGATAACGGCCCAACTGGCCAAGGAGACTGGCATAGCAGAGGGCCACGACTGGCTGGACGGGCGTTCTTGGGCAGAGGCGGCCCGAACCCCTACCAGCCGAGCGGCTCCCGGTTTGGCAGTTTGGCTGCGTTTGGCTCGCGGTACGCCACCAACGATGCACCGTTATTTCAGCCCACTCTCGAACAAGACGATGAGGACGAGGAGGAAGCGGCAGACCTGTTTGCACTTCAGCGGTCGCGACGAGTTTTTGCCACGAGCCGACTCGAAGAAAGCACCGAGACGGAAAATGACGGGAGCAATGCCTCCTTGGAACGCAGCCAGGAGGGGTCGTCCGGGCTGGGGGGACGCCTGCGGGGAATTCGAAGCAGTTGGAATGGCAAAAAACGCTACACACGTCAGAGCCTAGAAGAGGACTCTGCAAGCCAAGACAGAAGGGGGAAACAACGGTTACGATCAAGAGGAAGTGAGGACGGAAAGGGGATGGAGGATGTCACACTGGAATCTGCGATTGCTGACAGCGAACCGCCCGAGGACCTCATGATGGAAACACCGGCCGATAATGACGACCCGCCAGCCTTTCAAAAATTCCAGTCGACCACTGCCCCGACGCGGTACCTCAGGAGGGATTCGACGGGCGATTCAGAACTCGTTCAGCCAGGCCCTGCAGGCTCGCTCGACAACAACTTGAACGGTACCCCTGCATCCCCTCATGTTGAGGGCGAGATTTTCAAGCATGACGCTTTTTTCGCATGGCTCTACTTGATTGCCCAGGCCTCATTAATTTCGACGTTCGTGCTGGTCGCGCTGCACACGGACCGCGGGGACGGGCCGCTCGGCGACACCATTTATACTACGCTACGGGCCTCGTTCCACCTGCTGGCCGTCGACACGCTGATATCCATTATCGTCTCCCTCGTCTGGCTTGCGGCGCTACGATCGTTTGTCAAGCCGCTGGTCACCTTGGTTCTGGTAGCGGTACCAGTGATTCTGATATCCTTCTCATTGTATCCGTTCATCTCCAGCTATCAGTCGACGGATGGGAGCTCACGCATCCAAGATACGATGATGCGATGGGCGGCCGGCGTCCCAGCCATCTCTGCGGTAGTCTGGCTCTATTTGATATGGAAGGGACGGCACGCCCTTCGCTCGGCGGTCGGCATCCTCGAGTTTTCGAGTCGGATCCTGGCCGCCAACTCGGCCCTCGTCCTCGTCGGCATGGGATGCCTGGCGGTGGTGGTCGTCTGGACTTGGCTATGGTTGCTCATGTTCACAAATGTCTTCCTCGGAGGAAACTTCTCGAGCAGGCTTGCCAAGTTCATCATCAGCGCGTCAAGCTGGTGGCTCGGAGTGTACTTTGTCTTGATGTACATCTGGACGCTGTCCGTCATCTCTGGCGTGCAGCGGGCCACTACGGCGGCGACGGTCTCGCAGTGGTATTTCCATCGCAATGCCGTCCCGGCTCCGTCTTCGCGGGAGGTCGTGTCCGCTGCCCTGGGACATGCGATGACCACCATATTTGGTACGATCTGTTTGTCGACGGTGCTGGCGCTTGCTATTCGGCTTCCCTTGCTGGTGTTGCCGCAGCGGTTGGCGAACATCCTCAGCGTGTTCGTCTACTCATTCATCCCGTCTCCGATTGCCGCCCTGACGAACCCGTTGACTTTGACCTATGCCGCCATCCACTCACAGACATTAGCAATGGCGTCTCGAGGCCTCACTCACATGGACTTCATCTCGCCGCAGCGGCCGACCACAACGCTCACGCCGGCAGCTCTCCCCAAACATAACCAGCACTCTCCGCTGCTGCCATACCGGCTCGCCAAGCTGATCCTGCACGCGACACGATTCATCATGGCCACGGCGCTGGGCTTTGCGGGCTGGGTCATGACGGCGCGACAGCTGAGGATTGATCGGCCGGACGGTTTGGGCGTGCGGGGCAGCGCGTATGCGTACGTGGTGGGCTTGGTTGCCAGCTTTATCGGCTGGGGCATTCTGGGCGCGATGGAGGGTATCCTGAGTGGGATTGTGGACGCCGTGGTTATTTGCTACGGCAGCGAGAAGCGCATGGCGACGGGCGCGGGCGGGTACTGCATGGAGGCGGCATATCTCTTTGGGGACCGGCGGCAAGAACGGGAGAGAGAAGAGGTTTATTGAATTTCTCGTTTACAGCGCGGCGTTATCGAGGATCACATCTGGACATTGGTTTGGAGTTTGGAGGAGGGCTGGTACTGGCTCAGGGGTATACGGCTTCGCATCCATGGATGTTGCTAGATCTTGAGAAGACGTGGTGCACGGGACCGATGGGCCGGATGAACTGGGATGCATGTACTGCAAACTGGGTTCTATTTGGAACAGTTCAACATTTGGCAACAAATACATGACCGTAATTGAAGCAAGTTTGTTGGACCTTGTTGGCACTTTCCAACAGCCTTAAAGCCGGTGGGTTCTATGGCGGTAGCTGACTGAGGGCAATACCTGGGGTATCTTAAGTACCTGATCACAAGGGGAGCAGCTACCGGTAGCAACACAGTCAGCAATCCAGTTCTCGGCGCCATCACGGGGCCGCGCGGCATTGACAGTGGTGGATGGACTTACCCTTGGATACGCCGACGGCATCAAATGATGCTCCCGGATGTTTCAGCAGAGCCTTGCTGAATGTGGCTGATTTCGGCTACGTCATCGGAGTGGCGCATAAGAACAACAACACAATACGGTTCCTGATCTCAAGACAAATGCGGGTTAAAGTGACCTCGCAGTTGTCACGGACAGTCGGCTTCTCAGGTTCCTCCTGTCCCCGTCAATGAGCGTGGCTGTGCAGTATTGCGATGTCGCCACTTACTTACACGGAATTCCCCCTTGGTACACAGATATGAGTCCCTTTCCGGAAGCAAGTGCACCGTCCATGCGAGGTGAATGATTAAATCACTTACTTGCCTTGTAGTTAGAGGAGGCCTCTTTCGGCGTTTGCAGGTGAGACTGTCCTCTGACATTGAAAAGACGACGGGATCCTTCTCATTAACCCCGCCATTCCCATCATTTCCGGTTCCTTGACTATCCTCATCCTGCTCCCCCACCCACCACCTACGTAATACCTCGTACCTTACCAACAAACAAGATTCTTTTAAACTCCGACGAAAACTCTTCCTTTATCAATCCTGATATTGGCAGTTCTCGTCACATCATGGCCGATTTCGCGCCGCCCACGGGGCCTCCACCGCCCAAAGTGCCCGAGGGCTGGGTAGTCCGCTGGAATGAGCAGTACAAGGAATGGTGAGCACAGCACTTCCCCAACGATGATCTCGCGCAATACTAACCACTCTCTTCCCAGGTTCTACGTGAACACCTTCACCAAAAAATCCCAATGGGAGAAACCCACCGAGCCCGCCCGGCCCCCACAAGACGACCACCTCGCCCCGGCCGGCCCGCCGCCCTCTTACACCCCGGGCGCCACGCCGGCGCCGTCCGACACAAAGGCCAATCCCTACGAAACCACCAACACCACGAACCAAGGCGCCGCCGCATCGTACCACAACACCAGCACAGAAGAAGAAGACGCCCGCCTGGCCCGCCAACTCCAAGCCGAAGAGGACGCCCGCGCCGCCGCGTCATCTGCTCCCCCGAACCCGAATCCCTATTATCAATCGCACCCGCAAGGCGCACCCTTCCCAGGCCAGCTCCCGCCTCGCCCAGAGGACAGTCACAACAACAGCAGCAGCAGGGGCTTTCTAGGCAAGCTCTTTGGCGGCAAAAAGCCCGGAGGTGGAAGTGGCGGCGCCGGCGGCGGTTTGCCCGGCGCGCTAGGCGGGTTAGTGGGCTCGCACGGCGGCGGTCACCACGGCGGCGGCTACGGCTACCCGCAGCAACAGGCGTATTACCCGCCGCCACAGCAGCAGCAGCCGTATGGCGGGTATCCGCCGCAGCAGGGGTATTACCCTCCGACTCAACACGGTGGCGGTTACTACCCCCCGCAGGGGTATGGGTCTGGCGGTTACAGGAAGCCGGGCGGCGGCGGTATGGGCATGATGGGCGGCGCGGCGCTGGGTGCGGGCGCGGGGTTGTTGGGGGGGATGATTGTTGCAGATGCCATTGATGACGCACAAGAAGATGCTTATCAGGAGGGGTATGGTGAGTAACAAAAAAAAACCCTACCTGATACGGTGTTGCTTGGGTGTTGGCGTGGTTGACTAACGTGGGACACAGAGGACGGTGGCGGTGGTGGTGACTTTGATGCTGGCGGCGGTGATTTTTGATCGGAGGTATGTAGGATCAAATCAAGGTCTGTGGTCAGAGTCTGAGGTTGAGTCTCTGAGACGAGGGATGTGCTGGTTAGATGGACTCGACTGATGTTTGAGGTGTTTACCGTTGTTGTTACTGTATATGAGCTTGGATGACTAGTTGACGGGCGGTAGCATTGCATTCGCTCGTTTCCTCTAGACCTGCGACGAGAAATAGGTTCCCAAGTACATAAATTATGATATGACCCTGCTTTCGCGGTTTTCTGCTACTCACACACTTGGCAACTGGACTGGTTGTCAGACTTCAGCAGAGAAAACGTGCCTTCAGATGATGCTGATACCTCTCGCTTAGCCCTGCTTCAATGGGCAAACAGCTCCTTTCCACTTCGTGCCTCATACTCACACACCGCAATATTCCATCTTACTAAAACATCACCGCTTCTTCTTGCTCTCCCCCTTACCCTTTCCATTGCCCTCCTCGGCCTTGTTATTCGACCCCGACCCGGCCAGGAAAGCGGCCATATCAAAGTTGCTCAGCGGGTTCGCGTTCTGACCTGAGGCGGCGCCCATGATCGAGTTCATGGGGTTCTCCTTCTGCCGCTCTTCCCACTCAGCGCGCATCTCGGGGTCCACTGTGCCATGTCAGTCTTGTTTCCCGCTGTTACATAGAACAACTGCGCCCAGGGAAAAGAGACGTACTGTTCTCCACCAGCTTGGGCATTCCGAAAAACAGCCCCATGCTGGCCAAGCTCAGCAAAATAATCGGGTTCTTGAAGATGCTCAGCACCGAGACTGTTTTCACTTCATGTTAGCAACCAACCGATCTTCTTTTCCCTCACTTCCACACACAGCGCGCCCTCTGCACGAAACGAGAGACAGGGAAACAGGATGGAAAGAACTTACAGCTACTCCTCTCCATGAAATACCCCTTGGCCCCAAAGACCTTCACATCCACTACCATTACCCCGCTAACCCCCTCCATCTGCCCAACGGGCAAACTCTCCCCCTTATTCCCCCAATCGTTCCCCCGAAACGTCTCCCACGCTTTCACCTCCACCACCCCATCCTCTTCCTGCCCCAGCCCACCCGCTTCCACCTGGACAGCAGACCTCGCAACATCCAGACGCAGCGGCGCGAACGCGTGGGTCAAGCAGTGCACGTCGACGAGGTAGGACCCGGCCGGCACGTCACGGAAGACAAATGTGTTGGACACCGAGAGCGGTGCCGAGAAAGACTGGCCCAGGGTGGTCAGGGTCGCGTGGGTGGAGGGCGGGAGGAGGTGCGGGTTGGGCAGGTGGGGTGGGGATGGCGGGATGCGGAGGGTGATTGTCGTTGTTGCTGCTGTTGTGGAGGGTTTGGATTTGGCAGTTGCCGGGGTCGAGTGGTGGAGGAGAAGGCCCAGAAAGGGGAAGAGGAGTTTTGGAAGGTGCATTATGGCTGTGTATTGTTGTCGCGCGCACGACGGTGCGGGTTGAATGTGGTTGCTGATGCGAGTTGGGAACTTGAAGTTGCGTTGAGCCGACAGGAGCTCTGGTGACGAAATGGGCTTACAGGGGGCAGTGGGGTCATGGGCTGTAATTGGCTGAGAGGGCAGTGGTGGACCTCCAGAGCTTCTCTGCTGCAGTGAAGCAGTGCTTTTACGGATAGAAGTTCAAGTCCTCGAAGCTAGCGTTTCTCCATCACCACAGTCGAGTCGGATCGACAGACGCAAGTTTGCAGCCCAGATTTGGATTTGACTCATTTAAGCAGTTTATTACTTACTCTAAGAACAAAAAAGAAACAAAAGAAAAAGATTTTTTTTTTTTTTTGGCACGCTCGCTAAACAAATCAAACCACGACCGGAGCCTCCTCAGCCTTGGCCTCTGGTGCCGGCTTGTCGCCATCCTTCGTTGTCGCGGCCGCCGCGGCCTTGAACGACTGCTCAAAGTCGGCAATGATGTCGTCAATGTGCTCGGTGCCGACCGAGATGCGGATGAGATCCTAGATCCCGTCAGCGACAGCTCTCAACACATCACTCGGCCCGCACTCACCTCGGTAACACCGGAGCTGATCTTCTCCTCGTCGCTGAGCTGCTCGTGCGTCGTGGTCCACGGGTGAATGGCCAACGTCTTGGAGTCGCCAACGTTGGCCAGGTTGGACACCAGCTTGAACCCATCGACAATCTGGCTGCCGGCAGCGCCGCCCCCCTTGACGCCGAAGCTCAGCACGCCGCCGAAGCCGCGCTTGAGGTACTTCTTGGCCATCTCGTGCGACGGGTGGCTCTCGAGGCCTGGGTAGGACACCCATGAGACATAATTGCTGTTCTCGAGGTACCGCGCCAGGGCCAGCGCGTTCTGGGCGTGCCGCTCGGCGCGGAGCGAGAGCGTCTCGAGACCAAGCAGCAGCTGCTGCGCGCCGAACGGGTTCAGGCAGGCACCAAGGTCGCGGAGGATCTCGACACGGACGCGAATGGCGAAGGTAATGGCCCCAAAGGTCTCCCAGAATTTGAGGCCGTGGTAACCATCCGATGGCTCGACCATCTGGGGGAACCGCTTGGCGTGCTTGCCCCAATCGAATTTGCCGCTGTCGACGATGACGCCGCCAATGGTCGTACCATGCCCGCCGATCCACTTGGTCGCCGAGTGAACGACAATATCGGCGCCGTGCTCGATGGGGCGGACAAAGTAGCCGCCAGCACCGAAGGTATTGTCGACCTGGAATCGCCCTCCAGTTAGTGGTCCGCTCCCAGCCCCGCGTCTATACACCCTCATACAGTCCACGTACCACAACTGGGACACCCGCCTCGTGGGCGACCTTGGCAATGACCTCAAAGTCGGGCACATTATATCGCGGGTTGCCGATGCTCTCGATGTAGACGGCCTTGGTTTTCTCGTCGATGGCAGCGGCCAGGTCTTCGGGCTTATCGCCGGTGACGAATTTGGTCGTGATGCCGAAGCGCGAGAAGAGGACCTTGAACTGGTTGTATGTGCCGCCGTACAGATTGGACGTCGAGACAATGTTGTCGCCGGCGTGTGCCAGCGCGGCAATGGCCATAAACTGAGCCGCCTGGCCGGAACTGGCAGCCACCGCGGCCACACCTCCCTCGAGAGCGGCGATTCTCTTCTCAAAGACGTCCACGGTAGGACTGCACATGTCAGTATGGGCAGCTCGAAATGACCCTGTTTCTGTCCCCGGCCCCGCCACTTACTTCATTATCCTCGAGTAGATGTTCCCAAACTCTTTGAGGCCGAAGAGACGGGCGCCATGGGCCGAGTCATTGAAGACGAAGCTCTGTCCATATCGGTCAGCTCTCTTCCCGTCCAGTCGGCAACCGGAGCTCTGCACTCACGGTAGACGCATAGATGGGGACAGCTCGAGCATTGGTAGTCGGGTCGGGCTCCTGGCTGCCACCATATCAGTCTCGCGCACCTTGTCTGGTGGTCAGTCCGGAGCAACACAAACCCCGCATGAAGTTGGAGCGTCTCGAACTTTTGGGAGAGATCAGACATGATGGCTGCTGGTCGTTTGGAACGTTAAGGGTATCACAGAATAAAGAGCAAGGGAACGGTAGGCCCAATGTGTTGAAGAGTGAACTTTGACAACAAAGAAGGATGGGATGGGACGGAAGACGTTTGGCCATGGGCAGGTCCCTTTTTCTATCGTCGATCTTCCCTGCTTCCCGCCCACGCCCTGGCCCGGAGGGTTTACCAGCCGATCGCCATGCTGGATGCACCCATCCATGACCATGCCGCCATTGTGAATTTTTCGTTACTTGACACAACCACTCTGCTGCTTGCTTGATGGGGCAGGCGTCCCAGGGGTTGCTACGTGCCGACCAGTCGCATGTGCTTCCTTCGGGTGGTGAAGTGGGGTTCACTAAGGTTGAAGTCGAGCACGCCATCACCTTGGTGGCGCGGGGCAGTCCATGTCCGGACTGCGAATTGCACGGTTCTGGGGAGGGCTGTGTGTCGGACTTATTATCAGGACCATGAGAAACTCCCTTTCGTGAGTGGTATTTCGAGGCGGGGACGCATCGTCAAAGGCCCTGGGTATTCGAAGCTCAACCAGCGCTGTCATCAGAGCAGAAGTCGACTGTCTCCTGCTAATGTTACCTACCTTGCCTAAGGTAGATTCGGTATTTCCATGCAGTAAGCCCAACCATCCCGCATCCCCGTGCTTTGCTGGGCTGCGGCTGCGCGGGGTAGCTCTCACTGCATAGTTAGTTACTGTACATTGCCGATGTTACCTCATCTGTCGACCACTTACACGATTGCGGTCCCAAATTATCGGGGTACCCATCCGTACTCCGTATCTCCAACTGATCAACGGATCCAGTCCAATATCTGCCATTAGGAACCTGGTGTCATTTGAGGCCTGCATTGCGAATTGTTGGCCCGTCTTTGTGCTAGTATATGACGTGAGATCCAACATCCGATGAAGCGGCTGAGTGACGCGAAGAGTTCCTGAGCTTGGGTTTTTCCCGCCCGGCCCAATCAGCAAAGCTGCAGTGGCTGCATATGAGATCCGACAGCGAGACATAGGTCAGAAGCCGGTACAGCTGTTCGAGCTTTCGTTCTTCCATCGGAAAGCCCATTTCAATGCTCTGTCGAGGGACGAGTGCAATTGGGCTGTAAAACGATATCAGTTGTTCGTAGTAGCTACCTGTTAGACCGTAGCATATTTACAGTCTAGATCGTCCCAAGCATGTACGACCTCGACAACATGCCCGAATACCTTACCGTAGCCGCCGCAAACGCCTCACCGTAGCCCCACGCCACAGCAAGCCATCAAGGCCATGCTTGATGACAGCGTCGTACAACAGTAAGCATTCCCATGGTTCCGCATCCCGAGTAACTTTGTCCCATCCGAGCCCCGCCACCCAGTGATGTAGACACCCGTGGGCGCCCGGGAACCACCGGCCCGCATGACTTCTGAACCAACCGACCCCAGGGCTGAAATAAGCTTTTGACACCCGACGCACCGACTCGGCTTTTGAGCTGCCCACACCCGGACGGAATTCGGACCATCTCCACAGGAAGATAACAATGCGAACCCAACCACAACTGACAATACATCTCTCACTCATCACCCAGGGCCCCCCGACCGCCAGTTACTTTCACCGTCAGTCCAATACCAGGTAAAGTTCCAAGTTCAAGCAGCAGCCTCTTTCGTGCCCATGCTCATCGGCACCGCCCCGGTCCCCGCCATCCTGCCACCCTCCATCGCCTTCCCACCCCTCCTGGCCCTGACCATCTCCAGGGCGGTCAGCGCCGTGGACGCGGCCCAGGTGGCGAAGGAGAAGGCGGCAAAAGCCACGTCGGCCTGGGCGGCGTGGCAGGGCGCGCCGCGGCAGAAGAGCAGGCCCTGCAGGAAGACGGCGAGGGCGACGAAGCCGGCGAAGGAGAAGACGGCCGTTGCTGCATCGAAGGGGAGCGTGAGGTAAGATTTCGGGGCTGTTTGTTGAGGTGAACACAAACGGAGATGATGTTAGTTGGCTTGTTCTTGTTCTTTGGAGCTTGGGTTTGGAGAAGTTGGGGAGAGGGAAAAAGAATGGCTTACTTCGCGGGAGAAAGCGCGGGAGAAGTTGTATGCTCGCCAGGGAGAGGAAGGACCAGATGGCAGTGAAGATGAGATAGTTAATCTGGGCAGGCGAGTTCAAGCTGGTGCTGCTATTGTACCAGTGTGCGACTGTGGATAATTGGTTGGCATGTTAGTCTCGATGCGGTCCATCGTTTTTCTCGCATGTAGGGTCCTCACCGAAGCCTGAGAGGATTAGGACTAGGAGGGCGAAAACGCCCTGTGTCACCCTGATGAGGAGCATCAGGGGAAACGATATGTTGGTCAGCTTCATAGTCGATGCAGAGATGGAGATGCACAGGATGTAGAAGGTAAAGTGTACAAGAGTAATGAAAAGAGATACAGTAGCAGATATAATGCGGGCGGAAAAAGAAACAGAGAGGGTGAAATGGGATGGAAGAGCCAAACCGGAAGAGACAGTGGATTGAAGGTAAGGGGCTGTGGTCGTCCAAAGAACCGGCAAGTCGAGGTGATCTATGGATGATATCCCAACATGTTAATCTGCGTGATGAGCGCCTACGATATCCCCTTGAAACAGAGATCACCAGGAATACTGTCGCGCATGATGTGGTAGAGGACGGCGAAATCAGTCGAGCCAATGAAGCGGCGCAACCACGAGCGAAGTAGCAGTGCATCTCCAGGTTTGACGTCGACGCCGGTAGTTGTAAAGCCGGACAACCTGGTGCAAGCTTGATCGCCATGTTGGGCGTTGTTTCAATCTAGAACCGGCTTCACTTGAAAGCTGTGAAAGACCGAGATGTAAGGCCGTCGTGATAACTCCCGTCGTTTGATGCTCAAAGTTGGAGCAGTACTGCTTCCTACAGGCGAGAGAAGCAGTACTTGTCTTAGACGAGAAGAACTGCATCAATATTGCAGTGTTCATTCAGCTCGTCGTCGCTCCTCGCCGTCGAAAGGCGAGAAAGATTTCTTACGGCAGATGTTGTGTTCCGACATCTTGGCGTTTCGCAGACTCCTCGGACGGAAGTTGTCAGTTGCGAGGCCCATGCACTTTGAGATCAAAGACGCAACGATACGACCCTAACGCTCGGGTCTAAACTGGGGCTCTCGTGGGGCTTCAATTGGTATTAGAATGGCATCTAGATTTAAAGTTGCAGAATCGATAAGTTATACACTTGTACTACTTAATTATTTTTAACGTTCGGTGGGTATATCATGTCCAGTTATACTATATACGAATTCCCTAGATCAGTTGTACAGTACCGCATCGCTCTGCAGCATGCACGCAACCGTGTCACAACCCCCGGTTCCAATTTAGGTCGACTCAGTCGGGCTAGAACTGGTCCATTTGATACGGGCAAACTTACGATTGAAGAGATGCCGTTCAGTATGCAAAGTACTTGTGTCACCAACTGCGCTGTTACCGCTCCCGGCTACCTTTGGTATTTCATGCACTTCGAAGTCGTCATTTCAAAGTCTTATGTGACTGTCTTGCAACACATTGCATTTAAGTTACAGGCACCGAGCGACAGAGGCAATACGGTAGCTACACTAAGCCCCCGTCCCATTTGGTTGCAATCATCCCACATATCATTCGTCGTAGCCTTCTTTCCAGTTCAATGCTTCACTGCCGGTAACCCTCTGTCTTTTTAACATGACCACCCGTGAATGGAAATCGCGCTGCTCGTCATCTTGGCGATCTCTCTCCCGCCATTCATGCTCACTTTGGCGTACCTGTCATTGGCAAAATGCTCGCCCAGACGGCGACCTCCACATTCGGTGCCACCACTGCCCCACCCCCAGACATGTCAGCCGAGGCTGTTTTCTCGGTGCCGTCGGCTTGAAGGTACCCCAAAGCTTAACAGCCCGGTGAATGCATGTTGCAATGTCTCACTGCTGACAGGTGATACAGAGGAAATGTTAGATCAAAGGTAAACACGATAAGGCAGAATTCCGAGAGTTAGCGGTTCAGCAGCCGACTCCTGGGCCGTGGGGATGTTGAATCTCCAAACAATTGACGCACGCTCGATGAGGGAGAGTATCTGCTGTTAGCCGGTGATTTCGGCTCCCCCAGAAACCGCCATCGGCTTGGCCCGCCATCCTTGTCGCACTCGGCTCAAGTCCGAAGACGTCCCCAGGACAGGACCACATGCTTCCGAGTGCCGACCCTCCCTTCATCCTTCGAAAAGGACAAGGTCGTCCAGAACTGTCGAGGTTTTGGTTCCGGACCTCCCGTCTCGTCAAGCCCGGGCATTCCTTTACCGATTCAGAAAGAGAGGAAAAAACTTGGAGATAGCGAGGTGAGGTCTTGCGCAGAACCGGCTTTCCCTCTCTTCCAGCTTCTTAACGATCCCTTTGTTTCATCGCTGCGTCTCCCAGCCCTGCTGACCGAAGCCCACTCCTCCTTGAGAGTCCGCGATCGCACCAGCAACTATGTCTCGCAGCAAGCAGGATACTCAGGCGTACATTGCGACGCTCGCGACACCCCCGCCCCCGGGTGCGCCGTACGCTCTTCCCATTCCTGGCACCGAGCGCCCGAACCGCACCCCCATCTACCGCCATTGGCGCTTCCAGAACGGCCCGCTGCTCGAGACATTCGACCCCGCACACAGGACCATCCACGACCTCTTCGAGTACTCGGTCTCTCAGCATCCCAACAACAGATGCCTTGGATGGAGGCCCTGGAACCCCACCACCAAGACTTGGGAGCCCAAGTATGTCTGGATGACATATGCCGAGGTCGCCGAGCGGAGGAAGAACTTTGGCGCCGGCATCGTCGAGCTGCACCACCGCCTTGGCGTCACCGAGGACAAGTATGGCGTCGGCCTGTGGGCGCAGAACAGACCTGAATGGCAGATCACCGAGCTGGCGCTGCTCTCGCAGTCGCTGTGGCCCGTCTCGCTGTATGAGACGCTCGGGCCCGAGGCGACAGAGTACATCATCAATCACAGCGGCCTCACTGCCATTGCCTGCTCACTGCCCCATGTCCCGACCCTGCTGAAGCTGGCGCCTCGCGTGCCGACCCTGAAGCTCATCATCTCGCTTGACCCGCTCGATGCCGGCGAGATGGCTGGCCATTCGAAGTTGGCGCTGCTCAACGCCACTGCCGCCAACCACGGCATCCAGATCGTGTCCATGACCGACGTGGAAGCTATCGGCGCCCGCTCCGGCCGTGCCATGCGTCCTCCCAAGCCCGATGACGTCCTGACCATCAACTACACCTCCGGTACCACGGGCGACCCCAAGGGCGTCCTTATCACCCACGCCAACGGCGTCGCCGGCATCAGCGCCGCCCGTTCCAACCAGACGGTCATGGCCGGCGACGTGCACATCTCATACCTCCCGCTCGCGCACATCTACGGCCGTATGGCGGACCAGACGGCACTGGCGGAGGGAGCCAGTATCGGGTACTTCCACGGCGATATCACCGGCCTGGTCGACGACCTCAAGCTCCTGCGTCCCTCGGGCTTCATGTCGGTGCCCCGCCTGTACAATCGATTCAACTCGCTCATCCAAGCGGCGACGGTCCAGGCGGACGGCTTCAAGGGGTCGCTGTCGCGGCGCGTCATCGAAACCAAAAAAACCAATATGAAGCTTCCGCCCGGCCAAGCCACCAACAAGCACTTCCTGTACGACCGCATCTGGACCCCCAAGGTGCTCAAGGCGGTCGGGCTGCAGCGCGCCCGCACCATGATTAGCGGTAGCGCCCAACTCGACCCCGACGTCCACGAGTTCCTTCGGGCCGCCTTTGGCAATCACTTTGCCCAGGGTTTTGGCATGACCGAGACGTACGCCGTGGGCACCGTCCAGATGCCCAACGACTTCACGACGGGCAATATCGGACCCCCATGCCCCTCGGTCGAGTTGTGCATCGAGTCGGTTCCCGACTACGAATACACGGTCGAGGATAAGCCGTACCCGCGCGGCGAGCTGTTGATGCGCGGGCCCATTATCTTCAAGGAATACTTCCGCAACCCGGAGGAGACGGCCAAGACGATCGAGCCCGACGGCTGGTTCCACACGGGCGACATCGTCGAGGTCGACAGCATGGGTCGGTTTAAGATTATCGACCGCAAGAAAAACGTGCTAAAGCTGGCCCAAGGCGAGTACATCTCGCCCGAGCGCATCGAGAACGTGTACATGGGCAGCACCAACCTCATCGCGACGGCCTTTGTGCACGGCGAGCCCAAGGAGTCGTGCCTGGTGGCCATCTTTGGCGTCGACCCGGTCACCTTTGCCCCGTACGCCGCTAAGATCCTCAAGAGGCCCGTCCCAGCCGAGGACAAGGAGGCGGTCCGTCAGGCAGCCAACGACCCGCGCGTTAAGAGCGCCTTCCTCAAGCTGCTGGACCAGATTGGCAAGAAGCACAAGTTCAATAGCTTCGAGAAGGTCAAGAACTGCTACCTTGACATTGACCCGTTTACGGTGGAGAATGAGCTGCTGACACCGACGTGAGTTTTCCACCAGTTTTGGTTCTTCCCCTCTCCCATGGCGCCCACCTGCCCACGTGGGCTTACTCATAAATCATTTATCCTTACATGAGATGGATATTGGGCTTGGATGGCTGCTGACATCATATGCCAAAATCAGACTGAAGCTCAAGCGTCCCCAGTCGGCGAGGGCATTCCGCAAGGAGATTGACCGCATGTACGAGGAGATTGCCGCTCAGATGGCTGAGAAGCCCAAGCTCTGAGTGTGGTTCGCTATAAGAAAGGCGGAGCGGCGAGGGGCGGAGCAAGAGGCGCATTTTCGAGATTGTGTATAGTTGATAGCGGCTGTATAGGTTGCATAGCAGTGAGCTTAGGGGGTTTGTATAGTGTTCTCCCGCATATACTACTGGATAGGAAGTTGGTAGTATAAGTACAGTAATGAGCAAATTTCGTTATTTCTAGCACATTGGACAGGAGATTCTATTACAGTGAGATGGTAGTTATGTCCATGGCACAGAGCATGCGATTAGTTTTAATGTGCCCTTTCACCTGCTTGAGCAGAGTCTGTCATGGCACGGCTCATTGGGTCAAGGGGTATATGGGAGAGTGATAGCTCTATAGTTCAGCTAGTGTGTGACGGCACCTGCCGTCGAGGTACGCGCTTGCCTTGCTCGCGCGTGCCCTACTTACTCTGGCATTTATTTTATATCGCGAGAGCTCTTCCATCTTCCCTTCGTTTCTCCCCATCTTGTGGTTTTACACATTAGAGAGGTCTTTCCGCAGCTTTGCTTCGGCTAATAGCCCTCTGCTCGTGACACAAAAGTTCGATTAGTCAGATTGAATCCTCTATACTGTGAAAGACAAGTGGCATCAAGGCGAGGGACTGGGCACTGCAAAAACCGACTCAACTCTGCTAATCGAAAGCTAAGGAAAGGAAGAGGGAGAGTATACAGGATGCTCGTCCGTGACACGGGTAAGATAAGTGGGCTCACAGGCCACCCACCGATGACCCACCGATGACAACATGAGCCCAGGGTGCGCTTTTCGTCACAGTGCGCTTTCCATCACATATAGCAGAATCTTTGTCATCTATAAGGTATTTATAACAGATAAAGAAGTAATATATTTAAATGTGATAATACTATTGAAAATAGCTATAGAAGAAATAATAGCATTAAATAATAATTATAAGCATAATAAATGAAAAATAAGTAAATTATATAATTTCTGGATTATTATGTTTATCGCCGCTTATATAATATAATCACGCTTTTAGATTAGTTTACTATTTGATTTTAAACTAAGTTATTTATACTGATTATCTGATTCAACGATTAGCTAATTGAATCTGCTAAAGTTGCTACACCGCGATAGTAATGGATTCCAGGTACGTGCGAATCGACGCGTTATTTCGACATATACGCGTTTCTCCCTGATCCACTACTCTTACACCACAATATCCTGTTGGAATCGCTTGTTTCTGGACGTAGCCGAGCTTTGGCACCTTCCCTAGGTGTATGGTCGAGCCTTGGCTGCAGCGCACTGCGACGATGAGCTCTACCATCACCACAGCCACTCTTTCTGCCCCTCCCCTCCTAATCCAGGATGTTGCCGCAGTACTATCACCTAGCGAACGAGCTTTATTGATCAATTCGATTAGTCAAGGATCCAGGCCTCCGACGAGACCTTTGGCTTCGGTTTCGTCCGAGCCGCCAGCGAAGCGGATTCGGCGCGACGAGAATCCAAGGCCGACCGACCCTCTACTCGACCACTGCCTGCGAACCCAAGTGTTCCCACACATTGACCGGCAACTCGCCATCTTGTCCCCCGATCGGTCGAACACGCTGGGCATCGGCAGGCAGGTAAGCGCTCCACCGCCGTACCCCATCTCTAGCCACCGTCCCTTTCCCACGGCATCTTCCGTTTCATCCGTTCCTCATCTTGCCCTCTCCCTCTCAGACTCTTACGTACATGCACCTGCCAGGTCGTCGCGCTTCTTGTCGGATCTGAATTTGCCCGCGAGTACAACAGCCGCGGGGACGGAACCATCAGCCGCGAGTTTGAGGTCAAGTTGGCATATCAGGCTGCCCGATATGTGCATTCTCTTGCCCGTGGCCTTGTACATACAGCCCACTCCCCCCAGCAACCCTTCCAATAATTTGAATGGCGAGCTAACCCGGGCTCTCTGGCTTAGAATCCTCAGCTAGTTCCTAACACAACCTCCGAGCCGCTTCCAGCGCCGCGCCCCTTCCTCCAGCCACCTGTTCCCTTGCCGCATTCTGCCCACCGACTCGTGCCAACGCGTGTCGCTTCGACCCCTTCTACCGGGCCTCGGTACTCGACCTCGCCGATTCCCGTGCCGGTCATCCCTGGTCGTCCAACGGCAACGCAGAATGGCAGACCCAACGGGACCGTCACGGCGCTCCAACGCTCAAGCATACCTACTTCAGCTATAAGACCCCCGTCTGAGGTCATCACCATTGACTCAGACGATGATGAGGAGCCGTTGTCAAAGCCCGACATACCGAGACAAGCTCGGCCCGTTCCCGCACCACCAACCGCCCCTCGTATGCTACCAGTGCGGTCGTCGCCTATACCCGAACTTCTCTCGCCCACTGCCCCTCCTGCTTCGGCCGCCGTCCGGTTGCCCGTCGCGTACCCAGCACCCGCTGTTGCGACCAGGCCGGCGGTGCCTGGTACATTAGCTGCGAGCCCACCACCAGTTGGTAAACAAGCTACTACACCGATCCCATCAAGCGCGGTTGCTCGAGCGAGCCAGAGTACGTCGCAGGATCGGAGAGTAGAGACAGAAGCGAAACCGCGCGCAAAATGGTTCTACAAGCAGCGGCTGCCGTACCTCACAGTAGCACAGAGGGCGTCAATTATCCGTGGCACTCAGCGACCCCTTGAACTAGGTTCCTCCGAGCTCGCCAACCCGGTTACGTTTCATGTGGATTTTTCAGCTGCGGAACTAAAGTACATCCGGGACTTCACTAGGCTTAATCTGCCGTTGTCACCAAAGGCTGGGACTCCGAAAAAAGATCTAACCAAGGTTCTCAGGAAGAACCGGGGCCACGTTCGGAGGATCCTCGATTTGTTTGCGCTGCGTGGCCAGCTCCCAGGGCGAACACGCGAGGACGTCGAGAACCTGTTCACCGATCTCATCAACCCCCAGAGCCGGCTAGGCCGCGCTGTTCTGACATTAGAAAGGGACAACGGTGATCAGCGCGGCGATCATATTCGGTCCAGCCGTGTTGACTCCCTCTTGTTCGCAAGGGAAATTTCTGGTCAGCGGAGCGTCGGGTCAAGATGCCCACAGCGACTCAACTTCCAGAATGAGTTCCGGAAGTACCGCGAGGACGACCTTGAGAAAAAGGCCGAGTGGACGGGTTGCGCGGGCGACATCTCCACCATTGCCTGGGTGTCCAACGACGGCTTCATCTGTGGAACGACCGAGCACTCCGACGCGCACAATCAGCAATACAACAAGCCTGGCAATTTGGTCTTAGGTTCGTGTAGTCGTGTCACCCTCCGTGCGTATCCCGAGCATCGCATTGTCCGACCCATCGTCGAAAGGGGGGAGAACTCGACCGAGGCCATGCGGGAGAGCCAGGATCCGTGGCTGTATTCTTCGGTCGTGTCATCCGACTATGATGCCATCCACGATCGGGCTTTTACCTGCTCTTTTGACCGGACGGTGAAGATCTGGAAGGTTGAAAAGTCGGGATCTTCCATGAGCGTTCTAGGCGAGTGGAGGCATGGCGGCAACGTCAACTTCGTTGCTGCATCCAAGCATGAGTCCGGCATGGTCGCGACCGCCGCCGATGTAGCAGTGGACGCGGTTCGAATCTACAACGTCCTCGGGGAAGACATCTCACGCAGCTCCTTCCGGTCTTACTCGTGCTCTCGCGTGACCGACGAGAGAGGAAACACCGTGTCGACGGAGAAGTGGGCCTATTTCCCTGCGACCATGCAGTGGGGCTTGGCAGACGGCGTGAAGAATATGCTGCTGGTGGGCTACTCGCCCAGGAGTCGGACGGGCGATGATAATGACATCCCTGTGGAGCGACGGGACACCGGCGAGCTGTGCCTGTGGGACGGCATCACCGGAGAGCGGTGGCGTGTCACCTCGGCTACTACCCAGAACGTCTTTGAGGTCCTTTGGCACCCCACTCAAGCCTGTTTCATCGCCGCCACCTCGCCCTTGGGCCTGGATCTGGAGCCTAGTGTGCGTACGCAGATCAGGATCTTTCGGCCTGCGGATCAGATTCAGTTTGGCATCAAGGCCTACAGCCCCATCATGACCCTGGATTGTACGGCTATCGATGTCAACGAGCTGACAATTATGTAAGTGTTACGGTTCATTCTTTGACCTCTACCCTGAGCTGACCATTTCTAGGCCAAATAGCTTCAAGTCTTCTTACGTCACGGCAGGGTGCACGGATGGCAACACCTACGTGTGGGACACGGCCCGTGGCGATAGGCCCATCCACATCCTTCGGCACGGCGAGCCGATCGATGAATACCGGGGCGATAGAGAACGCGAAGACGTGGGCGTCAAGTTCACAGCATGGGGAACTACGCCCGATCGGTTCTATACAGGCTCTTCTGACGGTCTAGTCAAGGTCTGGAATGTCCGCTCACTAGACAAGCCGCTGGTTCGGAACCTACTAGAGGCTCCAGCGCCTATCACAGCGGGCATGTTCTGCCCCGACAAGTCGAGGCTAGTAGTTGGGGACGCTAGCGGCCGAATTTTCATCCTCTCCATCAACGACGAGAAGGAACAACTAATGTTGGTCATGGAAGTGCCTCTCCCGTGCGGAGGCTCTAAGAGGATCCAGCGACCGCCCGCTGTCATTCCACATCCAGACCCCCCGGCGCCTACCCACGACGCTGAAGGCTGTCCGATCATAGCTACTTCAGGCCCTGCTCTCGGCCGCGCTTACCTCGAAAACCTGCAGCTTGAGCGCTATCCTAACCCTACTATTGGGGTGGTACAGGGCCCTCGATATCTTGAAACCGGTCTATTCCGTCGCGAGCTGCACCTTAATGAAGACCCTAACCAGCCGCTGCTTGCGCAGTGCCAGATGATGCAGCAAGAGGATCAGAAGCCGCCATGGCGCCTTGCGAGCAAGCGACGAGATCAAGGCCTAGCTTTGAGGCTGCTGAAGGAAGTAGCGAACCTAAGAGAAGTGCACCTCGGGAATAAAAGCTTAGATCGTTTTTCTCTTGATGTTGAGGCCTTGTCTAAAGAGACTAGAGTTGAGTTAGAGAAAGCTGGAGTGGATTTTGAGCTGATGAGGGACTATATCCTTGAGGAAGAAGAGTGGTTTAACTTGTAGGCGAAGGAATTCTGTATTGTACGTCTAGAAATGACATTGCTTGAAGAGAATAAATATGAGATATTGCTTGAGGTACATTATCAGTGATATGCGCAACTCACTAATAATGTAACGGGCTGAGCCCGTAAAGGCCTCGGCAAACTCTCGGCCAAGACTAAAGATTCGGTGGACTTCTATCTTGTTCGATATTGGCGCACAGGCCAAGGATGTGGAGGTATAAGACGGCAGATATCTTGCATAGTCTTTCACTCTTTTTCTTCTTCTCTCTCCATTCGAGACAAACTCGTAGAGTCGTCACCAGCTAGTTGCAATATACTCCTGGGACCGCTACAAATAATATACGTTATTTCTATATAAATGCTTAGATAAAGATGTGAAAGAGGCGTAAAGAATTATATTACCTCGTAAAATCTTATAGTTGATTACTTCTTATGCTACTTTAAACATAAGATAGCTATACTAATGAAAGCCTTATCAATTGTATAGCTTATTTATCTAAGTTCTTTGATCTTAGAAAGGCAATTGATATACGGGCAGGGCACAATTGATACACGGGCAGGGCGTTATCCGGGCAGGGCAATGCGGAAGCTCCTATTGGCTCAAAATTTCCTGTTAAGCAGGGTCTTT